GTACCAGTTGGGACACATCAGATGTCTTTACAATGTTTCAGTGATTCTCTGAGCTGGAGATTTGCTTCTGCTGCGTCAAAATTTGGGGGTGTGATTGCTCAATCACCTCTTTGCTTTTCCTTTGTGGATGGATTTGGAGGTTGGGGTGTTTGTTTTCGCCCAGCTGTCAGTGACACTGGCACCCCAGGAGCAGCAGGCTGAGCAAGCAGTGAGATGAAGCTGTTCCCCATCCCAGGCAGTACCCAGGAGAGAGGGGATGGTTTATTTTGGGGTAACTATACAAAAAACCCTTGTGTTGCAGCTGTTTCTAGTATCTCTGCCACATATACATGCAAGATTTAGGGACTAACAGACACATATAATGAATTTTGCTTTCATATTCTTTTGTTCTGACTGGTCTCTAAGCTAGAAATGAAGGATTTCCTCAGAAAGCCAAAGAATTTGGTGGCTTCAAAGTGTTAAGTGCAGTATTGGTTGTTCTGAAAAACAGACCTGGGAGTATTTGAATATCCTACATCTTCCAGCTTGATTTTAGTGACATGCTGGCACAGAGAGAAATAAAAAATCCTTTTCTAGTTATTCCACATAACAATTATTTAGCTGAGGAGAGTCAGCTAGGATTCACAAAAGAGAGATTATGCCTGAAAGTATCTGTCTGACATGTTTAAAACAAATAAGCTGAAGTAGGAGAAAGAGAGGCCATAATGTGCCTGGGATTTGAAGATTCTTTGTAGAATCATGCTGCACAGAACCCCATGTTTTATCAGCTGGTGTGTCAGTGGGTGCAAGTGAGCTGGTCACAATAGGGGATGAATTTGGATGGATGCAGGGGAAGGGCAATGCCACCTGTACAGGCCTGTTTTATTGGTAGCCTGGGAGGAAGGACTCATCTGTCCTGTAAAGATGTTGGGATCTGCTGTGGATACAAAGCTGGTGGCACCACTGGTGTAAAGGAAATGGTATGATTGAAGGGCCCTGGGCTGGCTGCATGAGGGGGGCAGATCAGCTCCTGCATGCTTGTACCTTGAGGGGAAGACTGAAAACAACCCCAGGGTGCCCCTGTGTCCTGAAACTTTGTAACCTGCCTTGTGGCTTTTCATTGCTGCTCCACATACGTTCTCTGTTTTGTCAGAAACCACAGAGAGGAAGACAGTGACTCCAGCCTTACAACCTTCTTCACTACATAGCCCTGGTGAAAGAGCTAGTGTGCTAAACTGCATCTGCTTTTCTTGAATTAATTAATGCTCTTCTATTTTGCTTTTTGCCTGCCTTGAGAAGGGAAAAAAAATAAAAGCAAGTTTTTCCCTCAAATGGATGGTAAAATAGATAGCCTGATGTTTATTACTACTGCAGAAGATCAGATAATACTTAGAGAGTCTGGTGAAGCATTTGTCTCCTCTCAAGCTCTCCAGAAGGCAGTCATCCCTGTTTCAAGTGCTAAGACAATAGTGAATAAAAAGAAAATTCCCTGTACCAGGGCTATTTTTACCAGAGTGGTGCAGTTCCTGTTCAGTAGACCTATGCCTCGTAATCTACATCACTGATGATATTGGAAGCTATTTTAGGCATTGCATAAAATGTTCATCCAGTCTTTGCTAAAAAAGAAGCAACCAACCCACAAGTCCTTTGTTAAACACTGGTTGCAAGGCTTCAGCAGTGATTTGGGTAGAAGGATCTTAGGCTGAGGTTGTGGAAGCATCTTGCTTTGTTTGGGAGCAGAGATTGTGTGTGACCTTGGGAAAGCCCAAACTGATGATTGTTCTTTCCTCCTCCCACCCCCTTGTTATCCTGAAAATGAGGAGAATGCTACCATCATCTATTTAGGGTTTTGGCTCTTCTGATTTGTAATGGCAGCTGTCTTCTGTTTTGCCCAGCATCTTGCACAGAGGGACCCAGTTTGCAGCTGGACAGTTAATTAATTGAATTAATTATCTTGTGTGAATGTGATAATGAAATAAAACCCACCTGAACCAGCAAAATCCTGTAGAGTTTAGATCAGGCCTCAGTCACAGTGGTGAGATTTACTGAGATGGTGAATGTCTTTACTTCTCTTTGAGAAGTACAATGCTGAAAATGTAATTTGATAATTTCCAGGATTTTGACTTGTCAACTTCTTTACATTTGTATTTTCACAGTGTTGGGATGCATTGATTTTATGTGATGAGTTTCCTGCTTCTGTGAGTAGGAAACATGAGGTTAAATCTCAGAAAGGGCTGAGTGTTCTCTGTGTTCCAGCATCTATCTGGATTGCGCTCTTCGTCCCTGTCTCCTCCTATGCCTTTTGTCTTTTCTGAAGTATTTTTATAGGTGTGAAAACATATCTAAGGGAAGCCAGAACAAACTTGATGATTAAGCTGGTTTTTATTTGCAGTATCTTAAGATGAAACCATTTGCCATGGGCTGTTTCAGCAGCCACTGTGTCTCTGGAAATGCTGGCGTAGGCAACCTGGAGGTGCTTTGGGTAGCTGGTTGAAGGTCCATCCCCAGGCTCCAGGGTGTAGGACACAGGCTGCCAATGTGTATCCATCCCTCATGAGCCACGGGATTTCTGTTAGGAACCTCTGAGAGAAATTACAGGACAGTTTTCAGGACTTCTTATTCTTCCAGCATCCCATCTCCTTGATGTTTTGCTCCCAGAGCTCCTGGTTGCTTTGGCCAGTGAAGGGGAGCTGGAGAAGTGAGGAAGAGATCGTAGCAAGGCTGTGAACAAGCACCAGCTGGTAAATGCTGGAGCTGAGGAAGATGAGGCAGGATGGGTTACCTTGATTTCTGCAGAGGATGATTGCAGTGGCAGCAGCAGGCACCCCTTCCCAAGAGTCACAGGAAGCTTTTTCAGAGGAAAGTTCTAAGAATTGTGCTACTGCCACTCCTGCTTGTTTTTTCCTGCTCCTTCCAAAAGGCCTTTTTTTCCGCCATGCGGTACTTGCTCCACTGTCATGCTTGTCCCATGCAGCCTGCCTTCCTCCATTTCCTCATCCTCCTCACTGCTGCAGTGGTTGAGAGAGTGGGGAAAAACTGTCAGCTCAGGAAAGATGCTCTTAAGTTACTAAGATCTGTTTATAGCAGTGAGGGTGGAATTTCTGTTTGATGCAACGGTTGATGGATGTGTGAAGTCATCCTGTGGTTGCGGGGGAAGACAGAAGGGAATTGATTCCCTTTGTAGCCCTCTACCCCCAGAATTTTGGGAGACAACTCCTGGAAATCAATGGGGAATTTGTTACTCCTTCCTGTAAGCCCCTTGGTGCACTCAGGGGTAAATGGGATTTGTTGGACCTCTCCCAAATTTTGTGGTGGGGAGATGTTTCATTTTCCTGTCGATAGCCTTCCCTGTTGTGTGCTCTGCTGTCACAGGGACTGAGAAACACCAGCTTACTGCTGGGGAGTGAACCTGGTTGACTTGTGTGTCCTGAGTGCAGGGAAATTTAATCTTGTCTTCAGTCCTTAGGAGTGTGCTGGGCTCATTGGTTACCCCTGGCTGACTTCTCCTTTGCTGTGTATGCTGTTTTGTTACAAACTAAAAATGCTTGAAAACAAACCAGTTCATATTTTAATTTTTCTCATATTCTTTTAAAAAATTCATTTGTGTTTCACTACCCATTCTTGACTACCCCTCCCCAGCTTAGATGTTCAGCACCCCAGCTCCTCACAGAACACAGGGTGATTTCCAAATTCACGGGTTCCTTTTCCTAATGAGATTAATATTGTCCTAAGGAAAGCCTTGGAGTAAGGAGATGAGATCAAAGCAGGCACAGCGGCTGAATAGTGGCAGTAAAACTGAAGTCCTCACTTCACAAAGAACTCGTTTCTGAGCTTAACTGTGCAGTGAGCCCTGTTATACTCTTGTATTAGTCCTGAAGGGTCCTCGCTTGCCCCTGCAGTCCTGCAGCACTTCTGCATTTTCCCTGGTTTTATTTCCCCTTGGTGTGAATAAGCAAATGCAAGGCTCAAATAGCAGCATAGTCAAGCTGGTTCCAGCACATGAACAGCACTAGACAGAAAAATAAAAGGAGGAGAGCCAGTTGCCTTCTTGATCTGTAAAGCAGAAAATACTAAATCCTTCCAGAGCTCCTTTTTATCATGTACTGTCCATAAACCCTGTTTGGGGTTTGGATCAGCATCACGGCAGAGCCCGGCTGCGCTGCTGCCTGTGTGCAGTGCAGCCCTGTGTGTGTCTGGCAGCAGCACAAAAGGAACCAGCTGATGATATTCACAGCATTAAAGGCCCGATTCCTGGGGACACACTTGGTTGGATGCAATTAAAATGCCTGTCAGGCATTTGATACCAGCAGCCCCTTGACAAAGCGCTTCAGCAGCCGCGAGGTGCAGCATCCTATTGTAAGTGGATGATGGCGGAGCCGGCTGCCTCGGCGTCGTTCTCGAAATTTCTGTGGCCAGTGAACTCCCTCTTCCTCTCCTACTCACCCTCTTTTCCTTTTCACCGCTGCGGGGACTTCTGCTAATTTGCAGTTTTCCTTTTCCTGACGTGCACATGGTAGAGACAAGCTGGTGGCTTGCAGACTGCGTCTGGCTGGAGATAGGCAGCGAGCCGATGGATAACAACACTCCGGGAGAATGATTATGCAGCAGTTATTTAAGGATAGGCTTTTGGGGTATGGCAGCATATGAGCTGGTAATGATTTTATTTCAAAAATGTCAGCGTTTTTTGTTTGCTTGTTAAGAATTTGAGAGAGTTGTACCTTTATGCTGAAGCTTTTTGGATTTTGTCTGCTGTAGATTAAAATCTGTAGCAGTGCCTGCTGGATGAATTAAAATGAATAGGTAATAAACTTCTGTGGATTTGTTTGTACATTGGTGCATGCATAGTGTGTGTTATATGCAGACACACCTTCATACACTGAATGGATATGTTTATGCTTTTTTTGTCTTTGTATGATAGAAGAAAAACTTTTCTCATAGCTAAAAACTACTGATTTTTTTCCAGCAAAAATCAAATGTTTTCAGGGTTTTTTTTTTCCCCTCCCTTTGTTTTTTATTAGCAGATTCTTCAGTGTATAGTCTTGGACGCAGTGTGCTGATTGGAATCTTCTTGTTCAAAGATCAGAAAGGTAGGATGCCTCTCTTTGAATGTGGGAATGAATGTGGCACGGGGTGTGGGCTGCTCTTTGTTATTTTGTTTTTCCTTTTTGATTTAAACAATAGTTGGTGGTTTGGGTTGGGTTTTTTTGTTTGTTTCTGTCAGCTTTGCAGAGATTTTCTGATTGTTGTGCCAGGCACTGTAAAGTTATTTTTGATGTGTAAATATATGCTCTAGGTAACTAATTAGTCCTTTTGGCTGCAGCTACCAAAATGTGAGACACAAACCCGAATGCTTGTCTATTGTCTTGTGTTAGTACAGCGAGGGTGCAAGCTGCCCCCTGTCATTTGGGCTTGTCTTAATACTGATTTTAGCATCAGCAAGGACAGGGTTAAACTGGCAGCCTTGTTCCAAGCGGGTACAATCTCTCCCAGGAAAGCAGCTCATGGTTCCAGCAGCCTGCCAGTGCTGGGTGAGCATCTGTCTGATGGCTTTTTCACATACCACTGACACTTCAGAAATTATGCCTGCTATCAAAAGGAGGAAAGTAAGCTGGGTTTTTTTGGCAATGTCATTGCTGATTCCCAGGAGTTGCAGTTATTGTCCTCTTCCCCTAGTACCTTTTGGCTGTGGTTGCTTTAAGCTTTTGCCCTGTAAAGCAAAGAGGGAGGTGAAATGTCACAGAATAAAAATCTCTAAATTACTTTGTATTGGACTTCCAGGTGTGTCAGGTAGCTAAGGAATACAGATTTCATTGATTTGCAGAGGACTGTGCTAAAAAAAAAAAAAAAAAAATCCAGGCAGGATTGAAAATCTGCTCCCTTCACCTTGATGGAGAGAGAAGAAGGTATATCCATCTTGAATTAACTTCTTAGGTGCCATTTCTCACCCAACACCTACCAAAGCAGACTTCGTGATGTTCTTCTCTGTTGTGGTCCCCTACAGGTGATCATATTTCTTAGGCCTGCATTTAGATCTGCAGGGAATGTGTGCCATCACAACATTCATGTGTCTTTAGTCTGAAGTTTTAGGGGGCCTGTTAAAAACCTGAAAAAAACCCCACAGAATTTTTTCTGGAAAGTGGTGATGTTTCACTCTTTGAGAAAGCCTGGGCTCCTGAAATGGCCATTGTGGCTCCCCAGACAGGGAGGAATCCCAAGCCAGAACCTGGGCACTGGCAAAGGTGTGGGCCACTGCCAATAGCAAAGCATGCCTCAGAAAGGTGATGAATAATCAATATCATTGAACCATAGGACTGTTTGATTGATGCTGTTTACTGAGGGAAAGCATTGTGAATTTTTCCAGATATTCTCTCTCTTGTTTTCCTACATACAATTCTCTTATTTGTTTCCCTTTTCTACACATCTTTCCATTGTCTTGGCCCTTGTAGTTTTTCTGTCTTTGGCAGAAAGCTTTTACCTCATAGATTTTCCTAGCTGAATAAAATTCTTGAAAGGAATTCTTTACTTGCTAGTTTATCTTAGCTGCTTTTAATACTGTTTCCTCCTGGTATCAGTTATCACTAGACTCATTGAAATTGAAAAGCTTGTAGTAAATAGTGCTTAAAATGCTTTAATTTGTGAAAAATGCATTCAGTGATTTGGTTTTAGCTGAGAGCAAGTCCCTTCTCTTCCCTCTACTTTTAATTTCACTTCCAGTGTCCAAGGCAAGAAGCCAAACTGCAGTCTCATTCTGATTTCATTAATGTTTTGCAAACTCTGTCTCAAGGACTAATATTGCTTGCTGGGCTTCATGTCAGAATCCAAGGTTTTGCTGCAGCATTGGAGAAGGGGAAAGGAAGGCTCTCTCACAAATAGAAATGATAGCATTGTTAGCAGACAAGTAGAACTGCCTAGTTTTTATAGTATTTGTGGATAAAGGGTCCAGTTTTCTGGCAATGTGATCCCTTCAGATCCCAGCAGATTTTCATCTGCTATGGAAATATCTCTTATCTCCTGTGCACAGCATCTTATCAGTCCTCTATGGTATCCTAAAAACAAAGAAAGGGCATCAGCTGTTTGTTATTAAATCAGAGTTGGTGGAGACTGGATTCTTCTACTACATATGAAAATATGTATACATTTTTTTGTACTTCTGATTTAGCAGTCATTTTGGCCTCCTCCTTTTATCTGTGTTTTTAAGATTCATGGTACAATTCATTCCTTTTGGCTACAAAGAAGAAAATGAGATGTTATACTGGCAAAAATGGAAATGATTTCAAACAATGTAATTTTCGTGACGAAGAGGTAAGGAGCACTTAGCTGTAAGAAGAGATTTAATTCTAGATTGACAGGATTTTAAAATCCTGTGGCCACAGGGTTGGTTTGGAATATCAAAAAGAGATCAAAAGAAAAAGAATATCAAAGGAAAAGCATTTTGTTAGCTGATACAAAAGGCAACAGAAGCCAGAGTGTGCAGCAGCAATGAGGTGTGCTGGATTAGAGCGTGTGGGCTCCAAGGCATTCACCCAGGGTGATGCGATGTTTGGCACTCACCTTCCATTAGACATATGACATGGTGACCAAATGAGCCAAAGGCGTCCAGCGGGAAGGAACACTGGTGTCAGTTCTCCCCCAGGGCTCTCCTGCAGGGAGCAGCTTCAGGGGTGAACTTGGGCCTCCATGTCTGCCCCTGCCCTGAGATGCTCATCTGGTTTTTAGCCCTGCTCCTAATGACCCTCACAGAGGAGGTAAGGAGGCTTTATGGCTGTTCTAGGCTGGGTCTAAACACCTTGGTTTGTTTGCTAGGCTTAGATCACCAGCACTGATGCTCTCTTGTCCTGTGATTACATGGAACAAGTAGTGGTTTGAGCATTGGAGTGAATGGTGCTGACTTTGATTTATGTCTTGTGCTTGATGATGAACAATTCTTAGTGATGATTTTCCTGCTCTTTTACTGATTAGAAAGACTGTCTCCTAGGCAAATTGTTTGGTGGCAAATAAGTGTCCTCTATTATGGCTTTTCTTTCAGCTGCAATGTCAGCAGGGTCACTTGCAAGATCTGCTTTTTCTACTTGAATGTCAGTTTTCATGGGACTTGTAGGAAAGCAGCTACCTCTAACAAAACAGGCTGAAATTGGTCAGGGGACTCAAACGTTCCCAGCTGCAGAGAACATAATCTACATAAAACTTTCAGTGACTATGACTGGAGCTGATACGTCCTGATGAAAGTTCTTTCATATGGATTTGCATCTTGTGTCCTCTCCTCCCATGCCAGAGCTTCCACTATTCCAGTTTCTGTGTGGCCGTGTGCTGCCAGCTGGGCAGGGCTATAGAGCTGCTCTGGCCATTGTGGGCATGTGCTGCCTGTCTGGAGGGTCACAGGCACTGAGTGGTGAGGTTATGGCAGTGCTTTCTTGATATAAAGGAAGAATTCAGTTTAATTTTGTTTTTCAATTCCAGGGAGAAAAGTTTCTGTCCTTAATTCTCTGTTAAGCTATATTTAAATAGTAAAAGGAAGGGATAGTTAGCAGAAGCTTGGTTTAGTAATGTTAGAAAGGACCTTGTGTAACCTGTCAAGAAAGTAATCATTAAAGCACAGGAATCCAATGGAGGATGAACTGGACCAGCAGCTGGGCTGACATGGCCTCAACTGGAGTAAAAAGGTGCACCTGATTAGGTGCAGGCCTGTGGTTCCTGTGAATGGCTGTAAAACTGCCAGGTTAATTCCTGAAAGTTTGTGTCCTCTTTCTCTTCCTTGTTTTCTTCGTCCCTAAAACAGGCAAAGAAGTGCCAATGTATTTCTCAGGAGAAGTATTCAGCTTTGCAAAATGATTGAGATCCTTGGTTACAGTAAGCTTTGAAATTTGATCTCAAGATTTAGGATGGTGGGTTTTGTCTTGGCTGCATTAACAAAGATGTTTGTGGTATTACTGCAGTAGCAGTAACAATGAAAAGGTTAAAATACATTTACTAAGATTTGATTTCTCCCAGCTTCACCCATCAACTTTTTCTTCCTTGCAGTATTGAATTACATTGTGATCATAGAGGTCAGCGATGGCATTTAAGATGTTAATGAATAAATAGTAATCAATTAATCTGTCCCATTTCATCCAAAAGAATGGCTGTGTCCTGATGGACACTCAGCTGGCATACCAAAGCTGTGAAGGGCAGAGTCTGTGCTGCCAGTAGCGTGCTAGGAAAATCCTCTCTAGCAGCAGTGCTGCTGACTCATGCTTTACAACCCTGGAACATTCCCTGAAAGGCTGGGGGTGCAGATTAACTTCCTTTCCCCATCCTGGTCAGGGGACAATTCATCCCATTATTTGCCACCAAGTGAAGCCTTTGATAGTTATGCACTGCTGCTGTTATCACTGACCTTTTATGGGGTGCATTAGCGTGGAGCTTGCGAGAAATCACGGGCAATTTATTTTAATACCTTGGGTGTCAGTCAGTGCTAAATCACAGAAGCTATTTACATTTATTTTCTGAGTCATCCCAGTTCTTGTGATAAGGTGATTTTTTCAGTGTATATGGTTAGTAAACTGCTATTATCTCTACTTTTTCTTATTTGGTGTGTATATTTTGATTAAAAATGCAAACGTATACCTTAATTGGCTAAAAGAAAATGACACATGTAAGGAGGTGCCTTTCTTTGCCTTTTCATTGTCAAGGGGAAGGGGTTTCATGAGTGCTGGAGAGAGGAGTAGAGAGCAGTGGTGGAAATATCGAGGTGTGTATTAAGTGACAGGATAAAAGTCCCTGTAGCATCCAGTTGCCTCTGTCTCTGTGGTTCCCAAGTTGCTTCCTTCCACATGCCCAAAGGGACCTGAGCACTCTGCTGCTCCTCACCACGGTAGCATTTGATACTGAGAAGCTTGATCTTCTGGTAGAATTCTTAGCCCTGAATTTGTCTGGGGAGAGGAAGATATATGGGACAGCTCTGGGGACTTGCACATCCTCAAACATTTATTTCAGGTGTTTGAAGTACAGATGTGGAAACAAGGTCACGACACATCTCTGTGGAAAGTTCCTTGACAAATCACTGCCAACTGCAAGCACAGGCAGCACAGTCCAAGCATGGGTAGTACAG